GATACATGTGGTGGAAGCAGGTCTCCTCGGCCCGCGCGGGGTCTCCACAGCTCCATGTGCTGCTGTGTCCCTCAGAGCGCTGGGGAGGAGCAATCAGCAGGGCTCCCAGGGCTGCAACAGGCCAGGCACAGTGCCTTCCAAAGCCCAGATGGCCGAAGAAGTTTTCTAGGAAAACAGCTATGATGACGACAACGTCAAAATTAAAAAAACCCCAAACCAATCCAAGGAGACAGAACGTGAGGACTCAGCCGAGCTGGAGGCTGCTGGGTGTGCACTTTGACTGGGCTAGAGCAGGGTCCCTGGGGAAAACCCCCTACTGTGTCCCATAACACTCTAGGAGGCCATCATGATCAGGGAGGTCTGCAGTAGCTTTTATAGATCCTACCTGATCGAAACCCCATGTGTCTAGAGTCATCTGTTTCGTGCCCTCACCTCCTGGCATGCAGTGGCCTCAGGACCATCACCCCTGCATCCTCCCACTGCAGCAGAGCTGTGGGTACTGTGTATCTGTCTGCCAAGAACAGATGTGTGTGGCCTGTGGGCTCACCGGCACCAGGGCTCTGTCTCAGCCCTGGAAATCACCCCTTCTAACTCCCTGTGAGGCCACAGTGTGAAGGAAGCCAGCACTGAGAGGAAGAGGAGGCTGGCTGGAGGGGGTAGAGGAGCTCCGCAGAGGAGCTGGAGGGAAGTCGGGTTCACTCTGCAGCTCGGGGAAAGACAGAGGGGCAGGAGGTGCTGGGCCACGGCGTGACTGCACGGCGGCGTGATGGCTGGGGCAGGGTGGGACAACCTGGGGAGGGCAGCGTTGGAGGAAAACCCGCTGGTGTAGGTGGCAGGGGTGGATTCAGCTGCAGTGTGACTTTGGATTTTGTGCTATTCTCCAGATGGGGATGAAGGAGAAACTGAGGCCCAGGTGGGGGCCTCTGAGAGGGAGAGTGGAAGTGCGTGGCTGGGGGTCACCTTTGGAGCTCCCACAGCTGTGGGCTGAGAGCCAGGCAGGGTCAGCAGGGTTTCGGGATCTGCTGGGCAGTCTGCTGGTGGCTTCTGCCTCGGGCGACCAGCAGTGGCCTCAGGACCACCAGGCCTTTTCAGCTGCCCGTGGCCGGGTGATGCTGTCTGCTGCCAATGACCAGCAGCGTCCTCCACCCTGCTCCCACTGCCTGCGCCCCACTGCCCGGCCTCGGTTTATTCCCCTCATGGCTTTTTCCTCTGTGCATACCCTCCCTGGTCCTGGTCACCGTTTCCCGCAGGACCCTTGATATTCTTAGTGTCTTGTCTGCTTCACTTCCCCCTTTCCTTTGTTTCTTGCTAAGATTATTAGAGATCATCTATCTTTATTTATTTATTTATTTATTGTCTTTTTCCTTTTTATCGGTACCAGGGATTGAACTCACGACTGCCTGCTTACAAGACCAGGCGCTTATGCCACTGAGCTAAATCCCCAGCCCCCCGTCTATCTTTATTTTATTTTTTATTTTAAGACATTTTGGTTGAACTGCCCCTGGCTAAATATATGCTGACCTCCGCCGTGGACTGGAACTCTCTCTTCAGCCCAGAAGTCCCGTACCAAACCCGTCTGCTTCACTCTGGACAGAGTGACAAGTCTTCTGCTCTGCCGGGGCTTGCCTTGCTGCTCTGTCCAGGCTTGGGATCTGGACAGTGGACGTCCAGATGATCGTCCTCCACCTGGTGCCGAGCACCCCACTGGGCAGGAGAGGCTGACGTGGTTTCTGATGGGCTGGCCCTGCTGCTGCTGGGCAGTTCACATAGTCCTGTTATCCAGAGACGTGGACAAGCTCTGAGGAGCCACAAACTGTGGGAGTAAACTAACTGCTGGGCTAAGAAGACAGGAAAAGAAACGAAGCCATTCACAAGGCTCCAGTGGGAGGATTTCTGGAGGCCGCAGAGGGGTACAAAGGCACAAGCAGTGGTCCCTCCTCACCCTGGGAATACGAAGCACGGCTCTCAGAATAAAAGCCTCTGTCCCCTGGCCTGGCCCAGGTGGGAGACGGCGGGACAGGGGGAAGGGAAGAAGGGTTCCTAGCAGAGGATCTGGGGCATTAAACTTGTGCAAAGGACTCGCTCTGAGCTTGAGTGGATCCAGCCTCTCTATGCTCCCATCAGGCTTACTGAGGACCAGCAGTTCACGTGTGTGGCAGTGGCTGAGGCCGGCCCAGGGAGACAGAGGACAGGACGGACTAGGCCTCTGAGGGGGAGCTGGAGTGAGGCAATTACAGACGAGGTGGGGTCTCAGGAGAAGCAGGGGCACAGTGGGGATCTGAAGGCCGAGTTCACCCGAACTGAGGTACAAGGCATGGAAGACCTCCTTGTTAGGGTGGTATGTAGTATTTTGGTATTTTTTAAAATTTTATTTTGAAAGTATACAACAGAACAAGACAGAATAAAGCCAACTAAGATCGTATAGTGAAATTAGTACAGAACAGCTCAGCAGGTTATCGGGATAACAGTAATAGGTATCACAGTATATTTTGTTATCTTTATAATAGTTGTTCTTTCCGGCATGTTTATCAAATTGAGATGAAATATAGAACAATATAGAACTTATCAAAACAGAATATTGAATAGAGTAGTACCATTAACCAGAAAAGAGCAAAACAGTAATGAAAATATTTGCCTTCAAAGAGATGGTAGAAGGAAGTCCCCCTTATTTGCTATGGTCAACCTCCCAGGAGACGCTCAGATTTCTGGTTCCTATTTGCTAATGGGCGGTGGGGGGCGGGGGAGAGAAGGGGAGTAGGGGAAGTGGGATATGTGACTCTAGGCCGTGCATCAGTTGCTTAGCAGGGAGGCAGGCTGGTTGTTTGGTTTCACAGTGTCCTAAGTTCCAACATGGTGTGGATCTCAGGAGCTGCTGCTGGTTCTCCCCCTGGAAGGGCCACAGTCTCTAATTTTGGTATTTTTGAGTGAGGGTCTTACTATGCAGTTCAGGATGGCCTTGAACTTATTATGTACCCCAACTTGACCTTGAACTCACAGCGATCCTTCTGCCTCAGCCTCCTGAGTGCTGGGATTACATGCCCAACTTGTCATGGTTTTTAATCTCGTGTGTAAAGTATAAACTGAAATTATGTAAGAGAAGAGTTAGGAGAGGTGTCTTAGCAGGTAGTGGCAACTGCACATACAAAGGCCCTGCGGCATGTAGGAGGACAGTATAGAGTAGCAAAGGAAGGCTGTGGCAGAGACAGCTTCAGGGAGCTCAGGACCAGAGAGAGAAGGTGGTGCTGGGTGGCAGAGGCCCTGGAAGTTAAAGGATTGAGGGCTTTATGCCCAGGTGTCTGGGAGGCCATGAAGTGTTTTAAGCAGAAGAGTCAAATGAGGAGCTTTGTGCTTTTGGAAGCTTGTGGGGGCCACGAGTGGCAGGGTCCCTTGGGGAAGCAGAGGGAGCCAAGGGAGGAGCAGCAGAAGCGCAGGAGGAAGGGTGGTCAGGAAGGCACAGGGCAGGGCCAGCACAGTGAGGAGGGATGCCGGGCTGCAGGGACGACCAGAGCACGCGCAGAGGCCAGGCACTTGGTGGGACTGCAGAGTCCCCAGGGCAGTGAGCTCTGCACAGCCCAGGAGAGGGATTCAGTGGGAGGGGAGGCCAGAGGGCGAGTGAGGGATCTGGACAGGGCTCACGGTCTCTAGGGAGGATGCCTGAGTGAGCTGGGAAGGCGTAGGAGAGTTTTAAACAGGAAAATGACCTATTTTGACTTATGTTTGTGTCGTAAAATGATCACAGGCTGCTGTTTGGAGAAGATGGTGGCTTGGGCTAGAGTTAGTGCTGTGGGCAAGACGCAGCAGGGCCCTGGATACATTTGGAGAAACAATATGAGAGACAGAGACAGAGACACAGAGACACAGAGGGAGAGAGAGGAGAGAGAATCCATAGGAGTCTGAGGCTTAGCCTGAGAACTACTACAGGAAGGCAGGTGTGGAGAGGTAGAAATGGCCTTGACCATGCTGGGGCTGCGATGTCTGCGTAACCTCTAAGTGGAGACTGAGAGCCAGCAGCTGGACCTGGAATTAGAGAGGTTTGGGTAGAATGCAGATTCCCACCCATGAGGTTGCCTGCGCAAGGAGAGACACAGACATATCACAAAGGTGTGAGGACTGTGCTCCCCGCCCCCCCATCCCCACTCAGCAGTCAGGAGAGCAGGGCAGGAGATGCTGGAAGGAGGGAGAGAGAGAGAATGGTGCCCAGAGCTGGTGAGGGAGGTGGCTCAGGACGAGGGAGGGCGGCAGTGCCCTGTGTGGCTGGCCAGTCACTGGGATGGGAAAGGGAACAACAGACCATTCTGGCACTGCAGGGTTATTGGTTTCTTTCCCACGCAGATTCAGGGAGAGAGGATTGAGAGCCGGAGCGTGCGAGGAGACATGGTCAGAATAATATGAGATCTGCAGCCCCGGGGGCAGCACGCAGCTTGAGGAGCAGAGTCTGGGATCTAGGCTGTCTCTGACCAACCCAAAGGAGCAGCCCAGGCTGCTAGGGGGAGAGGAGAAGTCCAGAGTGTGGATCTGGAGAACTGGGTGGGGCGGGAGGCTTCAACCCAGGAGAGCTCTGGGGCCAGGCTCAGGAGAGTGAGGCTCAGTGTCCATGCTTTCATGGGTTGGGTGAGGGCTGGCCAGGCCAGACCAAGACTGCAACCAGCCGTGAAGGGCCCAGGGCTGAGGATCGCCTCCCTGTACAACAGAACAGCAGGAAAGCTTTGCAGAAATCCAGAGTGCCGAGCCTCCTCTGAGAATCTTTGTCCATCCTGGGGGTGATGGGATGTGCCCGGGGTGTGGGAGAGTCGTGGTGCTGAGCCCCTGTGGGAGGCTCTTGGAGATAAAGGGGCCACAGGGGCAGCGAGCACTGGCATTTGGAGGGCAGTGGTTGCCGTAAGCACTGAAGGAATTTGTTGGCTTTCCCCAGAAGAACAATTCTCATACCATTTACCAAAATAAAAATCCAGATTAATTCTGCAGGTTTACAGCTCCCTGGAGGCTGCGGAAAAACATCCTTTGGCACCAGAAACAAACTTTATTCTGTTTTTGTATCTTGCAATGCAAGATAATTTTGCAAACACTGGATACCAAATTGCATACACTTCTTTGGAATTTCAATGTTTCTGTCCATAGAAGGGAGGGAAACACAGTCATGACAAAATTCTCACACTACCACCTCGATCAGCTGCATGCTCTTGGGTTTCTCAGCCCTCTTGTTCCAGATTTCAGGGGTGTTCTCAGCAGAGGTGTTCCCTTTCCCCCAGATTTCTTCCTTTGGGGAATTGTTTCCATCCCATGACATGCAGTTTGCAAGGACAGCCAATCAGAACTTCTAACCCCACCTCTGCTGTGGGATGTGGTCCAGGACTAACCCAGAATGACAGCCCAGTCCCAGGCAGTAGGGACTGGCTTGAGTGATAGGCGCAGAAAATAAAAAGGCCCTTAAGATGAATCTGCGGGTAATGGTAGAACAAAGTTCTCTCTCAGAAGATGCAAAGCTGGGGACTGTGAGCTGGGGTTTGTCAGTGCCATGGTCCTCACATTCCAGGGAGAAAGAAGCCTGAGCAATGAGGTAGAGAGGGAGGGAAAAGGTGGTGGGAGCACCCTGACCACAGAATACCCAGCGCAGGTGCCGGCTCTGGTGCCTTCAGGCCTGTGAGTGGTCCCTGCATCCCTCTATGGACCAGCTCTTTGGAGCCAGGTTTCTGTCCCTTGTGACAGAAAGCATTTTGACCAAGACACCTGTGGACCTCATGAGTGGGTGGACCTGTAGGGTATGCACTGCAGAGTCAGGCAGGCGTGGTCAAAGAGTGTGTGAGGCAGCCGGCCCTGCGAGGTCCAGGTGTCTGTCTCTGGGTCGTAGCAGTCAAAGGAGGCCGAGTCCTCGATGCTGCAGTCCGTGGTCAGCCGCCGCCCGCCTGTCACATACAGCTTGTCCCCCATCACCGCCGCCCCGTGGTGCATCCGACGGTCTTTCATGTCCGCACATTTGACAAATTTGTTGGACTGAGGGTCATAAGCGAGGATCCTCCGTGTGTAACCTGAAAAGGGGTCCCAGATGAATAGGGTGTAGGTTACTCAGCCCAGAGCAGGGGTGCACAGTGCTGGAAGGTGACTGCTCCCTGTTAACTTGAAGGCTGGGACCTGCAACTAACTCAGGGTACTGAGGTTTCCTGCTGTGGCTGGGCGTGTGGCAGGGCTGAGGTGGGGTGCGTGCACATCTGTCTCCTCTGATCCTTGCATCCTTCACCCCAAAATTAAGGGAGCGCAGAAGCTGGCTGTAGACTGAGAGCAGCTTGCCCATTCCAGAGGCTCAGTCAGCCTCACCCATCCCAGAGCTCAGCAATCTCAAAGAAGGAAGTTTAGGAAATTTAGGAATGGGTCCCCGCAGCAGCTCTGTCTGGTGGGTGCTTTAAGGCTCCCCATTTTACCAAGAGGCAAACTGAGGCATGAAAAGATGAGTAAGGTGCCAAACAGTATTCAGCAAGTAAGTGGTGAAGTCAGGGTTTGAATCTGGGTCTCTGACTCCCCAACCAGCTCTCTTAACCGCACCACATTGTAAAACCCCAGAGCAATAGTGCGTGAGTCGTCAGTGTCATTAACAATAGCAAACACTTATGTATCTGGGATAGTGCGAGGGCTTTAAGTGCCTGGGTGTTGTGTCATCTGTGAATTAGGACTTGCCCTGGCCCTCTCACCTTCACCTTTAGAGGTGAGGGCAGGGGGACCACTCTGGATGAGGACAGGGCTTGGTCAGGTGGCCTGCAAGCCCTGAGGGTCGGGTGTGTCCCGCAGAACCACAACACGGGCCCTCAGCCGCTGTTGTCCACAGGAGCTGCCACGCCATTCCCGGGAGCCTTCCTTCAGACTCACCTCCCACAATAACGATCCGCTCCCCGAGCAGGACGGCAGGGCCACACACATTCTTCACCACCCGGGTCTCCATCGTGAACCACGTGTTCCTGGCCATGTGGTACACCTGAGGGGACAGGACGCGGGCAGTGCACCTGAAAGTTGAGTGGCTTTCCAGAGCACAAGAGGAGTCACTTACAGGGGGAACCAGGAGCGAGCTTCTCTCTGCTTCTTTCCAGGGTTTGAAACAGAGCCATCTTACTTTTAAAGAGTGAAATACTGCTAAACAAGAGGAAGACGCTGGTCTCTGTGCAGCTCATGACATCATGGCTGTGTTTCCACAGACTCCACCGTCACTGCCGCGTTCACACACCTTGCTTGCAATAGCTTTTGACTTTCAACGAGAAAAGGAGCAACTTGAGTGTCTTAAAAATCAATGATTTTTTTTCTGATAGTTTTCTATTTCTAGTTCATGTTTAAATTTCTAAATGTTCCAGTGTATGTGAGGGGGTCATAGGGCTGAAAAGAAATTCTGGGCAAGGGGAGAAGGCTTTTGTTTTTGCCTGAGAGGAATTAGAGTCTGAGAAAAAAAGGCAGCACAAAAAAAAAAAAAAAAAAGAGAGAGAGAGAGAGAGAGAGAGAGAGAGAAGAGAAGAGAGACCCAGGAGGAGAAGGCTGACCCCTTTGCCGGCCCCTGGATCAAACCCTGGTTCTCTAGAACATGTCTGTGAATGCCTGAAGTTTAAAACTCAAAAATCAAATGTGTGCTGGTTCATCACAAGCAAGATTTAGCAGATGTGGGATGGACGTCACATGAGAAAAGAAGAAATGAAAACATTTATTTACAGAGAAAAATGGCACAGTATCACGGAAATTCCAAGTAAAATATAATTTTGAGTATTATCAAAGACTTTATTTTACCATTTAGCAAAAATTTGACCTTTGTCTTATGAGGTAGATACAATGCTTCCCCTGTTTTCAGATTAGAGTCTCCTTTTAGAGACCAAATGGCCAAACTGCAAGACCAAACCCGTTTACACATCACAAAGTGCAAACCCGGCAATTAAACCCAAAGCCTGGAGTTTTAGTCTGAAAAACCGCCTCGTACATTAACATCTTTTGTCTTAAAAGAAAAACAAATAACACGTGTGCCATAACCACTGTATGGGACCACTGAAGCTCGGGTGTCACCAACTACTGAGGAGCAGGGGCAGCTAGTGGATCTGAGTCTGTTCTCATGTCCCTGCCGGGGCCGCAGCAGTGTGACCTTTCTGGACAGAGGCCCTAGAGACCAATTGGTCTATCTGAGATTGTCAGTCCTTCAAGCCAGGGAGGCCAGAGCAGACTGTGCACGAGAGCTGGGGGGATCGAAGCGGCTCTGCCACCTTGGTGCTCCATCTGAGGATGCATAGCTGACGCACTCTCCAGAAAGAGGGGCCTTTGGAGCAAAAGCAAACACGGGTTGCATTTTACCCGAGTGACTAATTGTCTCTCAGCCTTCTGTTCTCAGCTTTGGGTCTGGTTTCAAAAATAGATTGAACATTTGCTCACGGTCCTCAGGATACCCTGGAAGGACGCAGCGAGGATAAGAAGTGGTGGTCATGGGCCAGGGGAGGAGGCGCTGCTCTGGCAGGGAAAGGATTTGCTTAATGTCACCTGCCACAGAAGTGGAGAGAAGGTCAAGCAGAAAGGGACACACACACATCAGTTTGCATAGTGACTCCGCTGCAGTAGGTTCTTAAAAAAATGCATGTGTGAAGATGAATCATTCCAGGAAGAAAACGTGGAGCCTGTACCTGAAAATCCCCCAGGTAGCTCTAGGAATTCATTTTAAGTTATATTCAAATGAACCAAATTTCCATTTTAAAACTAGTGCTAGGTAGATAAGAAAGGCATTCAAATCAATATTTTTACTCTTTTCTCTTTTCCCATGTCTGCACTGTAAAGGGATTACTCAGCTCTTCAGGACTTTTCAGCTTTGCAAAGATCTTGGTGCCTGTACTAAGCCTTTCTTGATATGCTGACTGAAATTTTTTCTTAAGCTGTGTATTTTACTCTTAGGAAGTGGGTGATAGTTGTGCATTGGGAAAGCATCAGCATATTTGTTGATACTGTTTTGAAAGTCAGTCACAGAACAGGGAGGAACTGAGCTTTACATAAAAGCACTGTGTCATGTCTGTTTTGGTACAGGCAGAACTTGGGAACAGAACATGTCTCTCTCGGATCAAGTAAACGAGTGGGGCTGGGGACTGTGATTCTGGAAAGGTTGAGGACCTGCCTACTTGATCATGACTTCTCACCTAGATGTCTTAAAGAGTTTGTGACCCTACTTCTTTCTAGTCTGCCCTGCAGAAGGCTTCCCAGAGGAGATTGCCTCTAAATTCAAGTGTGCCGAGCTCACTAACCCATGAAATCCTTGAGTGCACCCCCGTCCCATGCTCTCTGGCTGCAATCCCAATTACTTGACAAGACCTAGAAAGCCTTGCCAGACCAGCTTCATCTCTATAACACACACCCCTCAAGAATGTTCCAGAACTGTGATAGGAGAGGCTCAGAGCAATGGCCTGGGTAGAAGAGATTGCTGGGTAGCTTGGGAAGAGGGAGGTCAGCGAGGATGATGCCCGTCCCCTCCCTGTGCACTCCTGTTCTGAGTTACATGTCCTGCCTTCAGCTGGCCCTGTACTCGGGCCTTGGACAAGGGCTTCTGTACCCAGGACCCTTCCCTTGGCAGATTGCTGACTTCTGGGTCAGCAGAGAGGCTTCCCTGCCTTCCCCATCCTCGTGGGACCCTCTTGGCTCCCACTCCCACTCCTCTTCATCCTTACCTGCCATCTCTCCTCTGATTCCCCACTCAAGTCAGCTCAAACCAGCCTCACAAGCTCCTTCTGCAGTTCCCTGAACCCTGGCATTCTCTTGGATTCCCCCACACGCTCTTCAAGCACCCCTCTATTCAGTCTCTGAGCTGAAGTCATCTGGCAAGCTCTTTGAGGGTTTATTGGGATTCACTGTGCCCTCCTATGTCCCCAGGGCCTTACCAGTGGCTGATGCTCAGTATAAGGCTTATAAATGAACCAACTGTGTCTCCTGTGGTCTCCTAGATGGCCCATAGAGATAAGCGTGTTATTCAAGCTTTTCATGTCAGAGGATGAGTGCAGAGATTACTGGAAACTTGCTTAAAGCTGGAAAACACTGTTCTGAAATTTGGCCTTCATTAGTCACACTTCTCAGAGAGCTTGTTAGTGAAATTAATATCTCTCTTCACTTAAGGCAAAGTTCCCAACGCAAGGTACATTAGAGCCCGCAGAGACTTTTATAAAGCACAGATGTCAGGTCTCATACAAAGAGATTTTGATTCAGCAGATCTGAGGTCGGATTCCAGGGGATTTGGTAACAGGTGTGGAACAAGGGTCCAGAATTTTCTTTTAAGTCTTTAGTGATAGGAGTTAGAAGCATCTGCCGAAGTCCTTTAGGACTTAGTTATCTGTCATTGAGTGGTATGTCCCCTCTCAAATGAAGGTACGTTTTTGTGGATAAGGATATATTAGTCTGACACAAAAAGAGTACATGAATGAATACATTTTTGCTCACAATTATCTTCCTTCTTTCCTCCCCTCCATTCTTTCCTTGCAAAAGACAAACATATACATGTATGTATATATGCATATATGTGTACATGTGTGCTCGTGTACAGAGGTGTATGCATATGGACACATACACGCAAGTATTTGTATGTTTATGCATTGCACATGCATGTACTTGTGAGCATGCATGCTCAGATGGATGCATGTGTTTGTGTGTATGTGTGTGTGTGCACCCACACTCTTACATGACAAGAGGGACCGGCTCTTTACCTGGATAAGGCGCACAGGGTTCTGCATGATGTCCTCTCCCCCAAAAAGGTAGAGCCTCTGGTCCTTCACGGCAACCGCAGGGTGGAGCACCCCTACGGGCATGTTGGCCATTCTCTCCCAGGTGTTGCAAATGCTGTCATATCTCTCCATGGAGCCCAAGAGCTCCTGTCTGTCTCCTAGGCCTCCAATGGAAAAGATAAAATTCTTGTGGGCTGTGCTCCTGTGGGAGTAGCGGGCTGCCAGCATGGGTTCTCCTAGCCTCCACTGGTTGAGCTTCAAAGAGAAGATGTAGACACTGTGACTGACCAGGCTCTTGCCCCCGCTGACAGCCATGCCACCCAGCACATAGACGCTGCGGTGCAGGGTCACTGCTGAGGCCTTGTACAGCCGGGCAGGGAGCTGGGCTAGGCTCTGCCACTCGCCAGTCTGGGCACTGTAGAGCAGGACATCCCTGGTGGTCTGCTGATTGTCCTTCCTGCCCCCCACGAGGATGAGGAAGTCTTGGTAAGAGCTCCTTGGAGGGATGTGCCACAAGGGTCTGGGGAGACTCAGAGAGAACACCTGCCTCCTGGCCGCCTCCAGAAAGGCCTGGCAGGCAGGTAAGGACTGCAGGAGGGTGTCGCCGGCCATGAAATGGTGGAAGAAGGCTGGGTGGACATACTGAAGCCGGACCTGCTGCAGCAGTTCCTGCAGGTAGCGCTTCCGGGCCTGGAGGTCATGCCTGACCCAGGCCATGAGGGCCTCAAACACCTTCTCCTCCTCCCCACAAAGCCCATCATCTCCCAGGTAGTCTCTTAACTCCAAAGCACACAGCTCCTTCAGGTCTGGTGATGCAGCCACCTCTGGGAAGCAGGTCAGGGCCACCTCCCTGGCTTTCTTTCTGAGGGTCTCACAGCTGAGAACTTCCGAGAGTCTAATCATGCCCAGGCAGTTGCTGGGGGCCAGCTGGCTCTGCAGGTACAAGGAGCAGGCCTCGAAGAGCCTGGGGTACTGCAGCATGGAGGCCGCCTCCATCAGGGGGAGGACATTTCCAGCTGTGATGTGCGCCTCCCCGGTGTACACGTAGGCTACCACCTGCTCCAGCGCCATCCAAGTGATGCCTTTCAGCTGCACTCTGGCCTCACCGCTCTCCCGGAAATTGCTGCAGAACATGGCCCGGAAGTAGGGACTGCTAGAGGCCAGCACATTTCGGTGGCAAGGAACCTCCCAGCTGCCCGCACAAATGCACACATCAGTCAGGATTCTGTTTTGTCTTAAGCTATTGAGTTGCCTCAGCAGGTCAGATTCGAAGTTGTGGTCTTTGAAGAGCAGCCCGTCTGGGGACTGTTCATCCATCCTACAGCGGAGGGGGGAGGAAGCCCCAGGAGGGAACAAGGGTTAAGCATGTCCTGGAGGCCTTCCCTGTGGCAGCCTCGAGACCCAGCACACCTGTGTCCACTCTTCAGGATGTCTGGGGGACCGCTGAGGATGCTGCACAGCATAGATGGAAAGGGATGCCACTCCTTCCCACCCCAGACCTCGAAGGGGGCCCCTCTACTTTGGTTATGATTACACATTCTTAAAGGTAATAAGAAACCAGCACCCACAGCTAACATGAGGGAGAAACTAAACCAGAGTTATAAGAAGTTACTTGATGGTCAGGGGCTGAAGCATGGACATCAGGTGATGGTCCACCCCATGGGCAGCACAGATGGGAGCCATTTTCTAGACTCTTCAAATGTCTGATGTTTAGTAATCTCTTTCTGGATGTTAGTTGTTCCCTATGCATGACGTGCTGGGGTGAAATGGACTTTCGGATGTGTATATGTACACACGTACACACACAATTATGTGGGAGATTTTATCATATATGGTGGAAACAGAACTGGGTTTTGTGCAACCCGCATTCCATAAAAACATGACCAAAATGTGCTGGATGGCATCCAAACACCTGACTGCAGAAGAATGAGGCATGGGGAGGATTTACCTTGCTCTGCTGTGGTGACATCCAGCGATGCCCGGTCTGTCTCGTTTCCTCAGAGTTTTCACCTCTAGCTCCGAGTGAAACCATAAGCCCCAGGCCTTTCCTTCAGTTGGAAAACGATTTGTCCTGGGAGAGTTCTGGGTTTGTTTATGCTGAAAGCACTTTCACGGTTTTCTAGAGCTCTGTGCAAGGGCCGCTGGGCAGGGAGACAGTGTATACATTCCAGGGCTAAGAATAGCCACATATGTACTTCCCACTGTTATGACATGTGACTTTCAAGTTGCCTTTTGCAGCCTTCTGAGGGCCTGCAGGGCTGGCGCATGCCCACATGCCTGGTTTCTTTGGCAAGTGTTTAGGGCGGCATAAATAGACTGGAGGAATGGCTTCTCGAGGTTAGCTTTGCTGCCTGCTTGAGTGCCTTGTGCTGAGGGCGCCTGACCATAAACAGGTTGCCGTGACTGGTGCAGGACCTCTGAAGATTGCGCTGGGCTGCGGTGAAGGTGGTGGCAGGTCACAAGGGAAGCCAGAGCATTCGCCCCGGTGCCGTTTGATGGGTCTCTGAGTCCCCTCATTGGCCTGGTGGGGTCTTGGAGAGACTGTGATTTCCTCCTGGGGCTCCAAGGTTGAATCCACAACACAGGGACCCAGGTCGTCACTGTGATTCTTATCCATGATGAACCACAGCCCGTGAAAGCCCCACCTCTCCTGGGCCTCCTTTCCTGGGAGCTTCTGCTTGGTTGGATCAAGCTTCAAGTTCAGGCTTCATTTTCCATCTTCCTTGTCTGTTTTCTTGTCAGGCAGGCTTGAGCTAGAGGCGGAGAGAGGAAGAAGAGGAAGAGGAGGCGGCGGGGACTGGGGAGGGAAGGTGGTGACATGATGGGGTAGGAGGCAGCTGGTTGTATGAGTGCGAGTGAAAGGGCCCCCGGTGGGTGCTGCTCCCACCCTGTGCTCCAGCCCCAAGTGATGGGGCCCTGGCTTTCTCTTCTCATGCCTTGTGCAGATTTCTGCAACGGCCCTTGGGGCGCTTTTCTCTCGCACTCCTAGTCTCTCTCCCTCTGGGACCTCTACTCTGTTATCCCACAGTAACCCCGAAGCAGGAACGTCAGAGTTTGCCAGCCCTCCCCAGCGTCGTGTCCTTTGATGGCATGGTGTGTCCAGGGCCTCTCAGCTTCTAGAACTCTGCCTCCTCTCACTTAGGTATTTGTCCTCTAGTTCTGCCAGGGGACTTAGGGATGCTCGTGTGCCTCTAAACTCTGTTGGGCAGGCCGGGCTGGCCTGGCCTTCAGGATACTCAGGGCGAGACACCCCAGGGCAGGGCAGGAGTCTCTCTCGCTCCTAGCTGCAGATCAAGAGTGTCTCATGCCCGCAGCATTTCAGGGGGCCAGGGCCAAGAAGTGTGTCCAAAGCATGTCAATGAGGCAGAAGTAGGAACAGAGGGCTTGGACTACAGGGAGGGGTCCTAGGCCAGGAAGATGAAGTATGAAGCAGAAGGAGGAGCCGTGGGCAGAGCCCCACGTGGCTGAGGATGCCTGGCCTTCTGAGTCATGGTGGGGGTACAGGAGAGGCTTCACAGCTCCTCGCCTTCTTCAGAGCTTAGCTGTGTGTCTGCTCATCCGAAAGTCTTTTCAACCCTTTGTGTGACTCCTTCCTCATGAGCCCGTGCCAGTCCCACGCCCTGTGCACACCTCTAATGTGCACAACTCCTCGGACCTCGCTGCTGTCAGGTTTGTCCACCTGTGTCGCCCCTTTAGCGTTGTAGTCACCGGACACAGGAACCTAGGCTCACGTGCCTCTCTACCATGGCACCCGCACAATGCCTGGCACCGACTGGGTGAATTGTGCAGTTCCCAGGTGAGATGTGGAGGAACAGAGAGTGGAGAAGTGGGGAGCTCAGTGTGGTGTGGTGGGCGGCCGGGGTGAGACTGTGGTACCAATGGTGGGCTTGGACAAGAATCTTATACTCCCCTACTGTGGCCCTGGATGGTCTCCACGTGAACCAACCTGGCAGGTTCAGCTATACGATGACGGTTTAAGATGAAAAGCTCGATGACGTTCAAAGACACAGTGCTGTCCGTCCTCTCCCAGGCCTCTCCTATACTCACCTGCTCTTCTTGCTGCTTCTGGAGGCAGTTCTGGAGATGCTCTTTTATGAGGATCTTTGTGAGGCGGGATCACAAACATGGTGCCTGCTGCTGTAGGGAGCAGCATCTGGCAGGAAGGCAGCCTTGTGCAAACACAACTGTGTGCCCCGCCTCGTTTTCCACACCTGATGCGGTGCAACTTCTGGTGCCTCCACAAAGCCAAACTGAGCATGACACACAGACTTTTTGAACTGATTCAGGAAACCAGGGTAGACACAGCCGCACAGCTAAAGACACAAAGAGCACTACCCGGCCTGCTTCAGAAGTGGCAAAGGCGAGGAGCAAGTGTGGAACTGAGGGCAGGGTGTCTGCAGGGGGTGACCAGTGCTGTGTCTGTGGCTGTAACAGTTCTAAGAAGATTTAAATGTTTAGTGTATTTTTCAGTTATACAACTGCTTTGTATTTCAGAGCAGAAGTTAGTTTCGGGTTAGGAACTGCCGAGGCCCTTGGGAGCCAGCCCAAGGGAAGGAGAACATCCTCCTCCTTCTCTGCATGGCCCTTATTACTCCTCTTCTAGCTGCTGAGCAAGCCGAAGGTAACAGGTAGGGACCCTGGAAGGGAGTGGACATAGCTCAGCCCCAGTGGGCACCTTGGATTCTCCCCTCCACCCCGTGACTAACTGGACTTTCTACCATCCAGCCCTGCTGTATATGCCGGGTTGATGTCTGGCCAGCCTGAATAAATCTTTCAGTTTTAATGTCTAGAAAAAAACAGTGACTGTTTTGTTAGCCTGACTTTCTGGAAGAATTCTGCTCCACAGGAAATGTCAGGAAAAGAGACCAAGAAAGTGTTGGTATTTAGCTCATAAGAACATACAACCCAGACCCGATCCCAGAGCACCTCCCCCAGCCATGTGTGCTCCCGGCCAGCCGATTCTCGCATCAGTAAGACCATGTCTCTGAGGGTCTGCCTGCACGTGCCTTGACTTTTATCAAGAAGGTGCTAAGTCATAGGGTCTGCGTGTATGACTATTTAAAATAAATGAGGATGCTCAGCTTCTGGTCTTTCTTTTTTCTTTTCTTTCTATTTTTTTTTTTGGTACTGGGAATTGAACTCATGACTTAGTGCTTGCCAGGCAGGCGCTCATGCAGCTGAGCTAAATCCCTTGCCACCTGGTCGGTCTTTTGAGAAAAGTCAGCATCACAAAGAATCAACGCCTAGACTCTGGATGCAGAAGGGCAAGGGGCGATCTGAGAATTTCTTCTCGGTATCTTGGCGATCTGAGAATTTCCTCTCAGTGGGCTTGGACAAGAATCTTATACTCCCCTAGCTTTGATTTCTTAACTGTTAAATGGGAAATAATTCACATGTGGCCTCCAGCAGGCCTGGTACTGTGAGTGTTCCGTCACTGCTCTGAGGGTGACCTTATGAGGTGCCCGCAGGTCCTGATGTCTGGTTTCTAGTGTCTAATCTGGCTTCCCATGCATTCTGGCTGATCACTGTGCCTGGAGCAGTTCTGTACTCCTGGCTGGCTGCTCAGTGTTCAGGAGTTCTGGGTTTTAGTCTGAGCCCTGTTGTGATCTGGCTGTGTGTCCTTGGATGAGTTACCTAATCTCTCTGTGCTTACCTCCTCATGGGGCCTTGATGATGCCAGCCCTGTGGTTCTGAGGCCTGTGGGTGTCCTCTGAAGCTGTGTCCACCAAGGGGACTGTGAGGGAACAGGCTGTGCTCAGAGCTCCTGCATGGCTCTGGCCCAAGGCCAGGTGCATAGGACAAGTGCCAGTCAGTGCCAGCTGGAGCCTTTTATTATTTTTCCCTTTTAAGTAGATTTGGGAAGCCTTCACTTTCTTTGTAGAGCTTTGGACTGCCATGGCAGAGCCTCGGACACAGGAGGGCACGGCTTCTTCCTGCCAGCCGAGCTGTCAGATTCCTGGGGGTGAGCAGGCTGGGCTGGTTCAAGTCAGCAACAGTTTGACAGCCGCATGCTGGAAGCCACAGAGCATGTGCCCTGCATACACCGCACCCCCTCTGCTCTCCGGGGTTCGCTCCCACCTGCCCATCTGTGAGGAGCAGCCTTGCACTGAGTGGTGACCTTGGCTGTAGCCACCCTGGAAGATGTGTCTTGAGAGGAGACAGAGGCACATGAAGGACAGGGCGGCCACCCAGTCCCTTACTGGGGACCACGCCTTGCTAGTGCTAAGCACCTGGGTCCACCTTGGCAGATGGAGTGGAGACCCAAGCGGGACCCTGAGGTTTCAGTTCCCTGGATTGTTCAAAATCATAGGGAGGAATTTTCCATCGTGTGCAATTTTAAATTTTTTCTCTATAGTCAGCTCTGTCTGCAAGCACTGTGGCTTCAATCAATGAAAATAAAGAATTTTGAAAAGAAATTGCATCTGTACTAAACACGTACAAACTTCTCGTTGCCCTCTCATACACAGGCTACCAATTATTTTACAAAGTGCTCATGTTGTTTTAGGTGCTATAAGTAGTATAGAAAGATGATTTAAAGTGTGTAAAGGAAGTGGGACGGTTACACACCAACACTGCCCCATATCACGTGAGGAACTTGGTACCCACAGGGTCCTCCAAGGGTCTGGCGGATGAGTGTGTATGTGAGAGCCTGCTATTTCTGTATCTCTCCTGCTGAGAACTTTTTTGTTTTGTTTTTGCCAGCTTGCAAAAGCTGAAGATTCTGTACTCCAGACAGTGACCCAAAAGGGAGCCTGCTCCTTGGTCCAGGGGTTGCCGTGACTACCACCCTCTAGTAAAAAGTCTGATGCTGATGTTACTAGCTCGGCAGCGCTAGTGACTGCATACGCAGCCCTTCTTCTACTCCACCTCACCACCAGAAAATATCTTCATGTTTTTCTTCCCCAGGGAATGGCAAGAGGCAAAACAGGGCAACAGAGATGACGTCAGGACCATTACAGATTGTTGGTATAACCCAGCTGTCCGAGCCCCTTCTTCCTGCAAACGCAAGTCTGATCTCATGCATCGCTGTACCACAGACCAGCTTTCTGGGCTCTCAATCAAACCAGGAAGGAAGGAAGAATATAACTAAGAATGCTTTCTTACCCTTCTGGCTCAGCATGGTGAGTCAGGATGAATGATGTTCTGTGTGGTCTCTTTGCTGCCCAGGTTCGCTGCCCCCGAGGAGTAAGGTCAGCATGCATGCAGGCGTCCCCTTCCTCCTGGTCACTCAGGGAAAGTCTGACCATTTGCTGCGATGGATAGAAAGTGAAAGGCTTACATAAGGAGCGCTGACTAGAAAAGGTGAGCTGTACCTCGCTTAGAAATCAAAATAGAGCCTCTGTGGAAAACGGGAATTGAGCCAGGATCTGATTAACTAAGGGTTGCGTACCTATCTGTCTGTCCATCTCTCTGTCCATTCATCCACCCACTCACCCACCTACCTAGCCAGCCAAACACCCACCCTGCAAGACTCTAGGGAGGCAGACAGGGTCTCTGTACCAATACAAATAATTGGTAGTCTTGTAAGGGAGACAGAGATGAAACTCAACATGTCCTGAGTGTTTTGAAGGGAAGCCTTTCCCAGAAACCCTCTTTCAAATTCATTGCTCTCCCTCACTCCCATAGTGCATTCTGTGTCCTTGCAGGAGAACCTTACGTATATCTCTTTGGGAAGTCTCTCATCAGACTGCATTTTAACTGTTTTCATTTCTCTCTGCTGTGTTGGATTGTGGCTCCTTGAGGGCAGGGATAAGTCTTGTTCCTCAACTTTTATTTGTAAAGATAGAGAAATATTGTAACAGATACTGCTACTAGAAACTGTTACTTCTGTCCTTTTCAGACTGCTTATATTTTTAATAGCACCTCTTTTAAACTTTTGCAAAAGCATTTTTAATCTATTTGTTTTCTAATGATAAAAATAAAACTCTGTTATGGCTTATGTCTAGAGGCCCCCCCAAAGCCTCATGTGATCATGGGTGGAGCTTTTCAGAGGTGGCTGGATCTAGAGTGTGTGACACTGGGATTTAGGATGGAAGTGCTGTCTGCCCTAAGGGTTGGTAGCTGGGATAAAATAGAAGGGTCAGAAAGAGGATCACTGCTTATTTCTTGTCACTTGGCTATTTGCTTTTGGATTTTATTAATAGCAATGATTTATACTTAGCTCTGTATTTGGTTGATTTATGACCTCAATACCTGTTCTTTTATACTATATTTTTCTCATTCTTAAAAGTCTCATCCTGATCTGTCTCTTGATCACCATTGACGAAGTTGGTTTCTTTCTTTCTTTCTTTTTTTGGTGGTGGTACTGGGGATTGGACCCAAGGCCTTTGTGGTGAGCTACATACCCAACTCCTTTCTTTTTATTCATTTATTTGTTTTTTGAGATAGAGTCTCACTAAGTGGCTAAATTGTCTAGGCTTGGCTCAAACTTGTGATTTTCTTGCCTTTACCTCTTGTGTAGTGTTTTTAAAGGAAGATACGGGAGAAGCACATTTGCCTTATCTAAAACTCCATTTCTGTTTCCTACCATCTAAGAACCATAACTTGACTAAAGAAAATAGTTTGAGTTCAAATTTATTTTCTTCCCATTTCATTACTGCTAAACTTTAAGAATTGAATATATCCCCCTTTGCCTTTTATTAAGCTTCTTTTTCTGTATTTTAATTATAAAATATTGCCAGGATATGTTGAGGGTCACATTCTTTTAATCAATATGACTTGTAAAACATGGATGTTGGTTTGCATATACTACACTTGATAGCCCAGCAAATTTTTCTTCAGTTATTTCTTTGACAGTTATTTCAACTGCAGTTTTGTTTCTCCATGAACAACACCTATATTTTTTTATTGAGAAAAGGTAAAACAAAATTTCATAATAAAATAGGAGAATAACAATAATTAATACATTACATGTTGTTATCTTTAAAGTAGTTGCTCAGGGTACAAGATATGGGCATAAAAATTTCTCCAATATTAGCCCAAAGCTTCTTTTTTAATGAACTAAGAGACACTAACAGTAAAACTGATTTGCATTTTTTCCCTTTTTCCTACTGTCCTTTCCCCTTTCATCCATCCTACTTCCTTTCTCCTTTTGAACAATTGCTTCCAATTTCATATCTTTATTTTCACAATATTTTTTGCACTTTAGAAGTTATTTAGTCTTTCAGTTTTTCATGCCAGGGAGATAACACAGTGTTTACACATGTGATTCTGATTTATTTCACTTATAAGTATGGTCTCAAGTTGCATCCATTTACCTATAAAAGTCTCAAGTTTTTCCTTTATGGCTGAGTAGTACTCCATTGTATAAAAATTCCACATCTTTTTTTTTATCCATTCCTTGACTGATGGGCATTTGAGTTGTTTCCAAGATCTAGCTATTACAAATTGTGCTGCTATAAACATGGATGTGCTGTGATTTGATGTTTTTAATTCTTCTGGGAAAATACTCAGAGGGGGAATAGCTGGGTCAGATGGAACCTCTAAAACCTAGTTTTTTTTTTTTTTTGCGGAATCTCCACATTGATTTCCACAGTGGTTGCACCAGTCTGCATTCGTATCAACAGTGGAGAAGGGTTCCTTTTCCCCCAAGCCCCTCCAGTATTTGTTATTGATAACTCCTATATTTCTTTTTTTTTCGGTACCGGGTATCAAACTCATGACGTTGCAGTTGCCAGGCAGGCACCCCTATATTTCTGAACTTGGTTTTCTCACCTAAGTTATTATCTCTTTTAAAACATTAAGCTATTTGTCTTTTTCCCCTGCATTCTGGAATTCCATCTTGAATTTGCCCTTTATACTACTGGTCTATTTTTCCACAGGAGCGAGTTCTTCTTTTTGCTGTTTTGAATACAGATGTGAAAAATGTCAGCTGTATTGTCAACCCTCTGAAATAATTCCCTGGCTACCCTACCTCTCTCTTTGGCTCAGCTCAGTTTTACTTACTTCACAATGGAGTATCTTGGTTTTTTTTTACTGATGCTAGTGTTTGTGAAAAGAAAATGTCTTTGAACGTCCCTTGAGTCTTCTGAATGAAGTTCTTTTTCCTGATCCTGCAGATTTTTTCAAGGGTTGCTTTTTATTTGGTTGTTTATCTTTAAGTGACAAGATGTATCTAGGTCCAAGGGTGGCGAGGAGCAGTAAGAGACCATATCACTGCCTTTAGAACATTACCTTCCCCTTTGGTGCTGTTTCTGACACCTCCACGTAGCGGGGTGGCTGACTTCCTTTCCACTTCCTCACTCCATGCCTAGGCATCCAGGGGCATCCATATAGGTTGGATCTCTTGAACTGAGGTCTGAGTTTCTTTTACTTCCAATGCAAGAAAAACTATAATCCTCAACTGTCCTACTCTCAGACTCTGTTTTCAGACTCTGTCTCAGACTCTGTTTTCCTCATGGATTTCAAAACTTTATTTATGCCAACTCTATTCCACCTCCCAGCATAACAAGTCTCCCTGGTATGAATGCCCACCATCACTTTCTACACTCTGCCCTGTTCCTTGTTTTAAGATTGGTCTATTTATTTCTTGGTCTATTTCTGGGTCTCTGAGTCAAAGAGTGGAGTGTGAGTATGGAAGAAATAACATTCCCTGCTATCTTCCAGAGAACCCAGTTTCCTCTCTTCTGTGGAAAGGTCACTGACTAGTGCTCTCCAGCCTGTTGTGTCTTCTCTGTCATCATCAGCATGAGTCCCAGATCCTGATCTTGGATTATTATCAGTATCACTTTTTTAGGGTGTGGTATGTGCTCAACATTCCTCGTAAATAATTTTTGGAAAATAGATGATACCGGAGGGATATTTTGTGTTACAATGCCAACTTCATAAATTGCTTTTGAACTTTGATCCCCAGAACCTTCCAGGTATTCAGGGTCCCTTTAGCTGAATGAAAGCTTCTTTGTCTTTTTACTTTCCCCTACACCTGAGTAATCAAAAGGTAGAAAAAGAGTGGGCAAAGGCAAACATTGCTGATTTGGTAACCCCCATTCCTAAGATTACTTGCCAGAGTCCTTAGGGCTTTGGGTAGAAAGTAGGGAGTGTCTTCTTGTGTTTTCCATTCCATGGGCAGGCCAGTACAGGCTGCGGAGATTCAGACATGAGCTGGAGGTCAGGGAGTCTGCAATTTAAACTCTTCGGAACACCTAGTGCATTGTCTGTTGCTCAGAGGCATTGCACAATATTGGTAGTAATAATAGCAGTCAGGAATTTGCTAGACCATCTGGGAGATGTGTGCATTATTATCATTGTCATGTCCAGAATTTTCTCAGTGCTGGTGTCTGAAAGGGGAACTTGTGCTGTGGTTCCCAAAGTCGAACTCTGTACAGCTCAGAGAGGACGGGCCCCCATGACCAGCTTCCCAGCTGTCAGGGGAAGTTCCTTGGAAGCGGTTGTCTGAGGACGATGATAAGGCTCATTTTTTTTTGTAATTTGGATCACTCCTGCATCATATTAACTAATTATTTCATTCCAACATGAAAATTTGAACATGTACTACACAGCTACCATATTTCATACCAGTGGAGAATCATACAAAGATCTCATTTTGACCAGGCTATATACTTACCTCTATTTTTCCTAAAACCACCCCACCAAACCCCACCCCCAGTTAGAGCAGATAGTGAGTTAGACAGCAATGAGGAGAAAGTGCAGGGGAGAATAAAAAGAGGTTTTCTCAGAAGGCATTATTAAAATGTGGATTAGTCCTGCAAAAATGTCCCAGGCCATGACTAGTTGGTCAGATAAACCGGCTGGGGTTTAGGGAAGGGGCTCTTTGGACAGGGAAACAGCAGCAGAAAAACTGGGTTGATGGTGTTATTTTGTAAGAGACTAAATTACCTATTTTACAGATGCATGCAGTTGCCTGAGGACCCTTCAAACACATCTGTGTCCTCCCAGTGCAACATGTAGGGTGCCTAGGTGATGGCTGACCTGGGCTGGACAGTCCTTTTCCACTTGGCATTCACTTGCAAACTGTGTGTTGTCTCAAGGTTCCGTTCCCATTCATTACTCCCCCGCTTTTTTTTTTTTTAAATTTTTTCTATTTTTACCGGTATCGGGGATCAAACTCAAGACCACAGGCTTGCGAGGCAGGTGCTTATGCCGCTGAGCTAAATCCCCAGCC